CGGACCCCCCCGCCGCCCGCCGGAACACCGGCATAATGGGACGACGGGAGGAAAGCTACCCGGTCCGGCGAGGGGAGCAAGCTCCCCCCTATCGGCCCCGGCGGCCGGAGGCTTGAAGTCGGGGTACCTCATCCCCTACCAGCGATCAGCGGGCTCGTCCGCCACACGTGTGGTGAACGAGTCCCCCTTAACGGAGTCGCTGGACCCCGTCCGCCTTGAAAAGGGCAGAGGCGGCAAGCGCCCCAGGACGGGAGGCCGCCGACGCTAAAACGCGCCGACGGCCGCCCACCCGGAGCGCACGCCACCGGAACCCCGCCCGGGCTGCCGGACCCCACCTCGGAAAACGTCCGAGCGGCCCCGACAGCCCCCCGCCTACGGCCCCGGACTCCGCCTGGGAAACGTCCCAGCGGCTCCAAGGGCCCCAGGCTGACGAGCCCTGCCTCTGAATACGTCCGAGCGGCCCCGTCAGCCCGTCTACCCGAGCAGAACGGCTTCCCGGCCCCCCCAACGTGGGGAGACCGAAAAATCCGCCCCTCCCGTCCCCCCGAGCTCCCCCGGGAACACCCGTGGGACTCGGTGAAGGGGACTCGACCCCCGGTGCCCGTAAGAGCGATTGCCCGCGGGCACCGGGAGTCGTCCCCGGAACCATGAACTTATGATTCCAGGGACCCGGTGTGGGTCCACGATGCCCTTCCGGACAAGTGTCCATGGAACATCGCTTCCCCACACCCCCGGCCGATGATCGGCCTAGCCAAACACTGGCCAAGTGGGCTCTTAGTCGGCGGACGCCCAACCCAAGGAACCGCCGGAGCCTGAAACGGCACACAGCGGCTCCAGGCCGAACGCCCGCCTTAAGCCCCCCCACCACGACAAGGTGGCCCACACGGGGGGACTCAAACTTAACCTTACGAGGTATACCCCAAATTCCTTGCGCAGCATTAATAGTCCAAACCCAATTTTTTAAGCACTTGGGTGCATTTTTTTTACAGATTTTTCGAGTTTTTTTTCTCCACATAACTCATTCTTCTTAATTTATTACACGCTTCTTGCCAAAATAATATATGACCACTAGTACAAGTTATAATAATACTCAATCCTTGTCCCTTTTTTCCATTAAACGAATCAAAGAGATCATTGAAAAATCGTAGAATTTCACAGGTTGCGAATGCACTTTTTGGTAACATTATTTCACCTTGCTGTGTCTGGACAAGGCCTAAAACATAAAATTCAATAAGAGGTGGAGAAACTAAAGTTTAAATATTATTAAAAAATTTATCACATATTGTTTTACCTGAATTTAAATTTAATATTTTAAATTTAATGACATCCATAAGTTTGAAACCGTGCGACTAAAAATTTGAGAGGCATACTTTACTCTCATTTTTGGGATAAGTCTAGGAATAATATATTTATTTGTTATTGTGTCCATTTGACGATATTTCAGGAAAGAGTTCTTGTCAATTTCATTAATTGTTTCAATATGATCCCAGGACGCATATTTCTTTTCTGAAATAGATTTACTCGTAACATCTAGATCTAAATCTTTTGTTAAAAGATTATTTCTGACCCCTTTCAACAAATGTACATAATCAAAAATAGGTATTACTTCATGATTCTTTATGACAAAGCTAGCCACTGAAAATAAAAATACTATTAATAATAACGGTAAAA